TACGATTACTTTAAACGTAAATTAAACTCGTACTAAGGCCTCAGTTTTGTTCTACCAAGACAGAACCATTTTACTTTGGGACGAAAACTAAATACATTTCACGGTGTAAAATCCCAAATATAGAGGTACAATGTGCATTTGTTTAAGTTTGATAATCCATTTTCCTACGTAAAATAATCTTCATACATTCGACGAATATTACAAACTAGGAACATAGCCTAGCCAATATCTGTAATTGTCATTATAACAGAGTCTGTTCGACAACTAATCACGGTATGTTTTAGTTCATTTTCTAGTTAAATGATTTATTGTTCACTGTGTAATGAGAAATTATCGTCTGTTGTTGATTTGCTACTATTAATCCTGTTGTTTATAAAGTGGATGTTAACGAAGGCCTTTGAAAATTTTGTTTTAATATAACGAAAGTAAATACTTTACGAGAAGAGGCTTTGCTCAGCAGTGGGCATTTATAGGCTGTTGATGATGATGATTTAGATATAATTTGTCTCAGTTTTTGTTAAATGAATCTTATGTATGTGTTGTAAACGTTCAGAGAATACAAAGAAACTTCGTCTAACAACAAACAATGATAAAACAAAACATCATCTACATAAATTCTCTAAAAACACATGTTCTATTGAACACTACGATCTATTGATCATAAAAATCTCCAGTGAGACATTATTCTATCGATACGACACTCTATAAACAAACACATACTTGAACACTGGCTCAAAGGGGCCATTACAATTTTTACTATCAATATTCCGTTGAAAACAAAGAACTGAGAGGGTTACGTGTCACAAAATATGTTAAAAGTTTGTAACAAAGTTCGTCTTGAACACCGTTCGATATGTTTGTTCTATCTTAGAGTTCGATGCATAGTTTATTCCAGGGTCAAATTATGCCTAGAGAGCGCCCTTGGCAAGGGCTTCATTGCGAATCAGACATGTTAGCTAGTCGCCGAGAACCTAAGGCAGCAGGAGAAGGAACGGGGTGGTTTTTAGTCAGTAAGAGTCTGACACTCCCTGCAGCCTTAATTCTTTCATAAACTACGTTTAAAAAATCGACTTGAATCCCCTATTTTTTTAAGTCCGTTAATTAATACACTAATACACTAATTAATATACTGGTCTTAACGGGTTGCCGGGGATTCAGGCTCGAAGAGCAGGAGTAGGAACGGAGTGGTTTTTAGTCAGTAAGAGTTTGATACTACCTCTCGCCTCACCCCGGCGGGAGCAGTCATATGATGATTTTCCCCTCTTTAAAAAAATACATGTTAGCTAAAGAGGAGGCGGGGTGCATGAGGCAGCGAAGCGCTGCCTCCTCACAATCCAGCCGTCGCGTCGGGGATCGCGGGACGATTTCCGGCTACCGTAAGCGCGGGCCTGAGTACGGTGAGCATGGGTGGCTCGCCGCCCAGACCCGAGCGTACGGCGCGTCGCGTTCCACGCGCGCCTCAAAAAGCTATCAGACCACCACGGGGCCCAATAGGTCTGATGCCGATACGTAGCCGCGGAGAACTTAACGGGTTACCGAGGTTCCGGCTCGAAGTGCAGTAGTAAGAACGGGGTGGTTTTTAGTCAGTAAGAGTCTGACACTCCCTCCCGCCTCATCCAGGCTGGAGAAGTCATTCGATGATTTTCTTCCCTTAAAAAGGCGCCCCTAATTTTTTTGGCGCCACTCTATAGTCAATTGGGTACGCGTGTCTCATGGCGTTCCTTTGTAACCTGGCGCCTCTAGACAAGTGCCTAGTTTGCCTTAGGGATAATACGGCCCTGGTTTGCGCCCATTGTAAGCACCCAGCAAAAGGCAGTATATTCTCCCTAAGTTGATCTTCGTTGTTCAATCGTTCAACATTGTTAATTTTCTTTTTATCATAATATTGTATCTACGAAATGTTTTCGTTAAATTCTTTTAGTTGCGGAATTTTGTTCGAAGTTTCTTTACTTAGATAAAAATGTATAAAAAAATAAACATACTTTTACCCTCGTTTCGCTTTAAAGAGAATGTGAGATGTTTCTCTTTAATTTATGTTTTAGGTACGATATTAAGCGGAGTAATAAAAAATGAGATGCTTCTAAGACTTATGTGTATGTTTTGGTAATGTCTCAAAAATATACGTTAACGTAAAAGTGATATAAAAAGTCGTATGTCAAGGAGAAACGATTTTATATATAGGAGCTTTAGTAAAAGTTAATATAGCGGAACGATAAAGATTTTCCATTCTAGGGGTAGAGGACAAAATGGGGGACAGATTCCTATAAAACAAAAATTCGAATAAGAAGATCAATGGCGATAAAATACACTATTTTTAGTGCTATGGTGTTCCATGCACCTTCCATCCCATAGCGCACTATCTGAAAGTCGTTCTAATGCGACATACGCCGGTGAATTTACTACCATTACCCACAAAAGCTCCTCCAAAAAATATGGCGCCGTTTGAGCTCGAATTACAAGGGCTCAGCGAGATATGATTGGTGCAAGTGAAAAGAGAAAAAAAGGAAGATTTTTTTAAATTGTTTTATTGCAACGTTGAAGTAATATCTTTCGCTGTAATCACCTGTGATTAATGCAGTGTTTAATGTTTTATGTTCAATATCGAACGATATATAATATTGAACAATGTTTTGAAAAATATTGTTAAGAAAAAAGCATCTACTATAGATTTAATTGTAGTTTTGTGATTGTGATGCTTAAAACTGTAAAATATATTTAACCAGTCTAGACTGTAATCTTAAATAAAGAGTCTAGCTTTTTTAAAAAACGAGTTTTAAAGTATGCACTTGTAACTAGTAATGTTTTGAGTTCCACAATTGTTGGGATTGACCCTATTACACAAAAATTTCTTCATAAATTAGTTGATCTCTTGACATCAGCTGATCCATCCGCTCGTTTGTCCCCTTATCTCACAAAAATATACAATAATATTCTCAATGAATCTAAACATTCTATTCACCGCTTATAACTTGCACCACACTCCAAGGCTTTGTTTCAAGTGGTCGCATTTATTCTCCGCATGTCCTAGTCCACTTTAATTACGGACAATTTATATTCAGATTAACGCAGGCGCAGGCAGGTGTCCTCCTAGTCTCACCGTAGTACCTACTTCTATTATGCACCGTACCGTGTGTGATTTTAATAACGAAGTAATGAATTGAATTATGGATTCCATTGTTCTTGAATCTAAAATCTTTTGTCCGTCTTGTTATTATATCAGTTAATTCTTAACTGTAGAATAAAATTGACACTTTTTTTTTAAGGGGGGACGACTGACTGCTCCCGCCTGGGTGAGGCGGAAGGGAGTGTCAGACTATTACTGACTAAAAACCACCCCGTTCCTTCTCTTGCACGTCGAGCCGGAGCCCCGGTTACCCGTTAGGTTCTCCGCGACTCCGAATCGGCACCGGCCCTATTGGGCCCCATCTGTGGTGGTCTGATGGCTCTTTGAGGCGCGCGCGGAACGCGACGCGCCGTACGCTCGGAAAATTGACACTTGACAGTTGTTAATATGTAAGAATTGTCCAATTTTGATAGTTATTCCTCAGTTAAAGTTTATCTGAGCATAGAAAAATTGGCCCTTAATGAACTGTCTCTTTGGATAGTTCCCGGGCCGCGTAAAAGGATTAATAAGTAATTATTTTCGTATTTTGAAAATTATCATATAGCCTGGCATAGTGTCTGATGTATTGTGGAACGCTCACTTGCCTCTGCTTATGAGTTCGTCATTATACGTGGAAGCGTGCTGGGCCCATAACCTAATAATATACGCAGGAAGTGTTTGACACAGACCAACTTTATTTAGCTCCACAGATAATATATTACATGTAGTACAAGTAAATACCGAGTGGCGCTAGTATCTATGCTATTAATTTCAATGCATACAATAGTAATTATAACAATTCTAACACCTCAGTCAATTGATTAACTGACTACTGACTAAAAGGCAAACAGATTTCGACTATGTATCGTTAAGTATCTAATTACTAAACACATAATTATACGAAAACCAAAACTATAATGCGCTTTAACCAGCCTTAAAGTCATAAATTTAAAGCTCACAATCCTAAATCTGGCGACATAAACAAGATGGCAATCAGTAGTGTCTGACTTACAGCGACGTTGGGCGTGATTTACAATTATAGGCGCTAACAGCGGCTCGGAGTTCGATATAATCCTGATAGACTGTCATAGTTTGTGGTAGGAGTCCGGTCATAACGTGAGCGAGGAGATGCGTTAATTTAATCAAGTTTATAATATGTAGTAGCACGGAGTCTGGAAATGTGCCCGGTATATGGCAATAGGCTCACCCCCTATTACATGGGACTTATAACACGAATAGTGAAAAGTGGGTGTAACATTGTACAGTGGCATTAAGTGTCGCAATGTGCACCTCTGACTCTGACGAGCAGACGGATCATCTGATGGTAAGGAATCGGCGTCGCCCATAGATACCTGGAACACCAGAGGCGTTGTAAGTGCGTTACCGGCCTTTTGGGATTAGGAATTTGAAGATTATTGGGGATACAGGGATTGGGGAATGAAAATTAACCTTACTCACACGACGAAACACAACGCAAGCGTTGTTTCACGTCGGTTTTCTACGAACAAAGTAGGAGATCTAAATCTTAGTCATATTTGAGATTTTATAGTCATGCTGAATACAATGAATCTTTATTTTGCAAGATCCTTCAAAAACCTAGCCAGTATATGCGTACCAGCAATCTAGCCGCTTCCAATGTAACCTAGCCTTAACGAAACGTTCGTGCGTACCACGAATGATACGATTTCACTAATAAAACGTCAGATTATAGGTATTTAAGAGCTTAGAGACTTATCAAAGTAAATGCTTAGTTCGTAAGATGCTTATGGTTCGTAATTCTAAGATATTTGTTAAGGCCCAGAAACCTAACGAATGTTCGGTCTATGTCTTATTTATAAGTGGGTTATAAGACTTATAAGGCAGTTTATAGACCTGCGAAATCTGTAATCATGTTTGGTTATTTCTTGGAATGTAGTTGATCGTTTGCCGGAGGAACGTAAGGTTTCTTGGTACTAATTCTAGCTTAAAAAAAAGTATAATTACACAATGTTTGTTAGAACAATATGCATTATGTGTATGGAAAACCTGTTTTCTAACTTTAATAATTTACTGTATTTTATTCCAATAGAAAAAATACTATTCAAGAAACCAAGATAATTATATACTTGCTTTTCATTTATACCACAAGATAATTCTCGTACCAAACTATACCGTGAACACTTCGCCAAGTTATTTGGTAGCCATAAAGCAAACTGTCACCTCATTGGCTGGGTGAGTTCCATTGTCATTATAACTTCACCAATAATCGGGTCAGGAGCAGTGATCGACCAATCAAAACTTGGCAATATTGCATTTGCCTAGTACGTGGTTCGATAATAATAATAATTTAAACAAACGTCACGATTTCGAAGTTAATAGAAATGGACGCAATCATATTGATATTAAACATTAGTTCTAATTTCAAAATATGAGAGTTAATAGAAAATAGGTTAAAAATAAAAGAATAAACACCTCAATTATTGATTTAAACATTTAAAATTAGAATACTTTAATATAACATAATTAGTAAATTGAAATACCTAGTTCCATTTTCAAATAAACGTGTCAGGTACGTACTCACGTGAATGACATTTTCAAGAAAGAACCATAGATAAATAATAATTTGTTTTTTAACTAAATAAGGTTGAGTAAAAGAGTTGGTTTCAAACTATTAGTCGATTTTGCGAACAATCTTTTAACATTTAATTATGTGAATATAGAGTGTGGTCAAAAGCTTGTATTTCTTCGTAAGTAAATATAAATGACCGTTTTAGAAACTGAAGATTTTGTAAGGATATAAAGCTTTATACGCACGTTAACATAATATATGATAGGCGACGAATCTATATATTTGCAGTGTGGTTTACCGGTACCTTATATCGTTGGAAGCCGCTTAACCACCAGACCTCATATTAATTTACCGAGACGTATAGTTAAATAGAAGTATCGAATATTCGCTTTAATGTTTCAGGAAGTCGATTATAAAGGCTTCGTTCGATTGCGGTAGAAATCGATTACCGTTTGCTACTTATATCGTGGCTGTTTAGTATTATGGCAACTGTATAATTTTCTTGACTGCTCCGTTGGTCGAATGGTCGCATGTGGATGTGGACTGCTGAGCTAAGAGCTAAGCCTTAGGTTCGATTTCCTGACCGGCAAGCTGTTATCGGGGTTGTTAATTTTCGAAAACTCCGAAATGACAATAACTAAAGCAATACAATAATATTATAGAAATAATTACTACCTTATCAATTGAATAACTATCTACCCGTTCAACCCTTGTACTGCACGGCTCACACAATTATACTAAGTATGTAAACAGGGGCCTGTTGTACCCCACTCAGTAAAACGTCAATCATCTCCGTGTTATTTGAATGACGCAGTGACGTCACATGTCAACTTATTGCAAATAGATTTGATTGTATTATAGAACATGTTTATGAGAAACGCTTAGGGCTGTCATTTAATTTCGATTGATAAATTTATATGTCGACTTTGACGTTAAGGTTGCAAATCGGTTAACAAGGAATGCATCGTCAATGCATCAAAATTAGACTTTATGTTATAGGAGTTAGAACTCATTTGTCATTAAAGGCATTGTTCGTTCGTGCCTATGTAAGAACACGTACATTGCGGTACTAATACATTACGATTACTTGACGTTTACAACTTGTACGCTGTGCAAGGAAGAGGAAGATAAAGCTGGGATACACGAATAAAGAGGTTTTAGTGCGCCTAACCTAATAAACTTACTAAAAAAGAAGAGAGAATGTAAATTTTATAGACATTCTATAAAAAAGACAGCAATATTTTTAAAGGCTGTGGTGTAATATCAGATTGTTAACAATATCTATCAAATGTAAAACTAGACTAGACTACTGAGTGAACAAGTTGGATAACACATTAGTGTTATCGAATTTGTTACTTTATGTTATGAAGCGAAACATAGCGATATTTTTAACTAGCTACTTCCGCGCGGTTTCACTCGCTCTGCTCGGCACTTATTAATCGTAGCGTGATGTTTTATAGCCTATAGCCTTCCTCGATAAATGGGCTATCCAACACAGAATTTTTCAAATCGGACTTGTGGTTTCGGAGATTAGCGCGTTCAAACAAACAAACAAACAAACTTTTCCGCTTTATATAATAGTACCTCTATAAGATGGATCCTTAACAGCAAGGACCTCCTTTTTGAAGCCAGTTGAAAGTAAGTCATAATACCTACAATTTTTATTACAATTTGAATCTCAATCAAAAAATTTCATTAAACTATAAATTAACAAAAAATAAACTCGGCGAATAAATCCAGAATTACGTATTTAATTCTGTTTGCATCCATCTTGGAACAGTCATCAGTTCTCATTGTTAAATTTAAAATTGTCTGAAATCACTCCACGGTCGGATTACAATAAATTATGCAGAACCCGCCGTGCATTGTGTGCCGTCCGTTATTAATATTATTTCAGTAATTTTTAAATGTCCTTTTACATTAATTTTAAATGTAGGTATTTTTTTCGGGTCAGAGCCCATTCGTCCCCTAAGATTCGCACCCTGTGCCCACTCGTCCCCTGGAACTTTTGAGGGGCCTATTCGTCCCCTGAAGAATATTTATTTTTATTCGTTCTTCTAATATAAGTACATGTATATATGTATACTGCAGCTTGGTAGTCCTGGTACAGTCGCGCAGAAAAGGGTAAAATAAAAAATATAGTAATTTGGTAGATATCATGTTTATTTTAAATAAGTTTTTTTTTTTAAATTTAATAATATAATTTTTTTATTAATTAAAATTTAAATTAATTAAAATTTACATTTAAATTAATAAAAATTTACATTTAAATTAATAAAAAAAAAATTTAAATAAGACTCCACATTGAACTAATACGAAAAACAAAATACAAGATTATAATAACATCCACAAATATGATAAAATTATAATTGCGGATAATAAATTGCTACTTATACATATTTAGGAGTAAATAATGTAGTCAAAATATAACTGTAGTATTCCAATATAAAGTAAATTACCGTCAAATAATAATACTAATCTTATTCCAGGATTCAAATGAGATAATTCGATTCAATTATGTTAAAAATATTATTATTATAATATTAACAATATTGTTTATTTCGTTAGGCGAACATCATTTAATATAAAAAAAACCAAAGACACATTGAAGTCTCGTATTCGTAGTCACTTTCAAGAACCAATATGTCATCGAGGCAGCCATAACATACAAATAAAACACCTTATCAATTTTGTACCCCGTTTTTTAAAAAGCCATTCGTAGAGAGACAATATTGCATCGTAGGCCTATCGACAGGTTATATTATTATCAATCATCATAGCTCTTTTTTCAATGATCTGTTATGATTTATTAAACTAATTCCGTTAATAAACTGTTCACAAGTGTACTATGTTAACCGTTTCTTATGTAAAATTTAGCTTATTTTATCTCAGGGGACCAATAGGCACCTGAATAGGTGCCGAATCTTTAACTTATTATGTATTATATTAGAGGGGACGAATGGGTACCTTAAAAATAATATTTTTTTATTAAATATTAATTGGTCCCCTACCAGGAGACCAATGGGCACCTATATAGGGGCCGAATCCACAACTTTTATGCTGGGGGACGAATTTTAGGGGACGAATGGGCTCTGACCCTTTTTTTCCATTGTGGACTTTCGAGGGTTAAGTCATTAGTGACGAAAGTGAATGTTTAAATTATTTTATTGAAAATGTTATTTTATTTATTCACTGTTTTTTTACACGCATGTTTTCTTTTTTAAACTAAAGTAGGTATAGTTTTCTTTTGAATCCTGAGTGTATTTAGAGACTGCTACTATGAAATTGAATACTACACTATAAGATTCTGGCTATAGGAAAGTTTCGATGACATGTGTTCGCGTAAAAATATAGATGAACCATTATAAGTTAACATACCCGATTATCCATGCAATGTGTTAAAATATATGTAGGTACTTTATTTGTATTATAACTTTCGTGAGACATACTAAATAAATTATTATGTTTTTGGCTTACTCACGTAATTATTTGACGAAGAACTCGTCTAGTTTCAAGCCATGCTAGAGGCTCATATTCATGAGCAGTATTTTGCGACCCGCGACGCGACTGTCGCGCTGCTAGTGGCTACTCGCTCGAGTAGCCAGTGGCAGCGCGACCAGTGGCTTGAAACTAGTCGAGTTCCCCGTCAAATAATTACGTGAGTAAGCCAAAAACATAATAATTTGTATATGTACTTATGTAGTCATATACCTACTTAAGCCCCATTTACGACTTATAGAAGCCGTAAACAACACAAAGACATCTCTCGATTTTAACCCACATCCCGAACAACAAATAAAGCACCTACCACTAAAAAAGAATACAAGAATACAATTTGTACAACAAAACTTTTAAAACCCCGAATTTATTTAGAATGTATGCTACACTGGTATAAACACACATCAAGCTAAACAGAACCAGTATAAACTGACCGTGGAATGTCCTGCAGTATCATACAGAGCAAGACCATGATAAAATGGTTTCGTATAACTTGATGTGTCACTGTACTAATGTCCCAACGCAATTTACCTTGGACCCTTAGGGAGGGCCCTGTGATCGTACGATCTGCGCTTACAATGTAAAAGGACATAGATTTAAGTATATTCTAGATACGGCCCTCGGAGGTGAGATACGGAATCGATTAGACGGAGTAGGTCAGTACAATCGAATGTAGACTGAATGTTTAAATAAAATGTTCTGTTTTAAAAAGTGGTTGGTCAAAGTCCTTTAAATTAATAATATCAGAATGTTTACTTTTATCGTTACGTTTACGTTTCGGTTTTATATGTTTTATTGTATTGTTTTATAACTGTGTGACAATATGTGCATTATATTTTGACATATTTTTGACATTATTCTGAATTTCTGAAACTGTATATTGATTGTATTGATTGGGTTCTTGACATTATAAACTGCCTTGCTTTTTTTTATTTTATATTAAGGGGGAAAATCATCGAATGACTGCTCCCGCCTGGGTGAGGCGGGAGGGAGTGTCAGACTCTTACTGACTAAAAACCAATAACAAATTCGATTATTATTTTATTTTTTTTGTGTATGTGGTTGTGTTTTCGTAATGTGAATTTGCTTGTCTCTTTTTTTGTACCTATATTAAATATCAGACACAATGTAAATTGTTAAATGAATAAATAAATGAAATGAAATGAAAAACTTGACTACTTTACTGGTGCTGTAATTGCAAGTGCGACTGCTCAGCAAAAGGATTGAGGTTTGATTTATGAGTAGAATAAATACATTTAGGGTTTTCAGGATTTTCGAATTGTTTTTTAATTAAGCTAGGAGACGAGCAAACGGATTACCTGATGGTAAGCAATCGGCGTCGCCCATGAACACCTGGAACACCAGAGGTGTTAGAAGTGCGTTACCGGCCTTTAGGGGATTAGGAATTTGAGGATTGTTAAGGATTCAGGGATTGGGGAGACCTGGGAGGTGGGGGGGGGGCGTAATTGGGCCTTTTTTTGGTATAAGAATTCTTTTGAAATAAGTAGTAATAACACAGACTCCGACATTTTGCCTGGTGTGTATGGTATACATGTATAATACGTTTATTACATGGAATTCTTTAAATATGGTGAAAAGTGGGTGTTACATCGTTTATAAGCACTCTTTTTACTCTCTAAATGGATTAAAATGTGTGACGTCATACCCTTTTATGAGAGCAACAACATTATTTCAAAAAGCATACATCACTCCGGCTCAGTTTACATAATGTATCGCCCAGCAGTGCAATATGTATCGATTTCTACTGAAACTTCTTTGAGAGCCATTCTTCTCTGTCAATTCACACGTCTTAAGAACTGCATACAACTTTACTGGGACCATAGCCGAGTTTCGAGTTTTAGAATGTTCATTTTAAATATAGAACTAAGTTTAGATTCAATATGGTAGTTCTATTAAACTGTCAAATACCAAGCGGTCACCGGTGACCGCGACCTATTGATCTTTAATTGTGTCTATAAATACGGTACTCGACGAGTTAAAAAGAAAAAGGTTCTATTTGATTCGGAAACATGACATAATATCACGCCTTTTATCCCCGAAGGGGTAGAGGCAGAGGTGCACATTACGGCACTTAAATGCTACAGTACAATGTAACACCCACTCTATGTTATGAGTCCCATGTAATAGGCGGTAGGAAACTGAGCTGAATTCTTTTTTACTTATTTTATACTACAGAATTAGAAAACATCTAGAAACGACACCATAATTTCATTTAATAAATAAGTCTACCATAATAACAGCCGAACATTCACCATAATTATTAATTATTACGGAAGAATATTACCAAACCACCGACTCAAAACGCAGTAAAACCCGAAACAAAATTACCGAACCCCTCGCTTCTTAAATACGAACATTAAAGTATCAATTAACATCTTCACCGTGACGTCACAAGTCACATCTCAATCGCGAAACAACTCACGACTAATTCCCCACAAATGTATGCAAAGGGGCTGAATGCGGCTCCCGACAGACCTGACTTATGACGTCATTATCGCGATTTAGTCGTCAATTACACCGCGATGTGGTACCGCAGTAAATCGGGAACTTAACTTATCACGATAATAATTCCGCAACTCTCATTTACAACGAGAAATTGTCATTGTATTTCGTCGACAACCGACAATTTTCAACATCACACAGACTACCGATTTGCAGCTGGATAATCCACGTGGATTTGTTAACGCCATGTTTGACGTATAAAATACGCGTTTGCGTTGATTTTGACGTTTATTCTCGTGGATTTGTTTCTATGACAGATTTGTTTTCTAATTACATTTTTACAATATATCACTGTTGTCTGTCAGTCACTATCAATTAGTTCACAAAATTGTCACACTAACAAAAAAATTCAACAGTTTTATCTCTAAATAGGCAAACGCCGGCAAACAATAAACATTACATCGCACTTAAAAGCGTAAAAAGACGCTAACAAATCAGTGAAGCAATTATCACGGGCAATCAGGACGGAATACGAACCAATTAGCAGCCATAGACCTACTGTATATATCTTAGACTGTGGCTCGTTATCGCCCAAACGTCGGCGTCCGCTTTTTAATGCTTATTTATTGAAAGCCCAGAGTCTTGGGGCAAAGTTATACCCCGGAAGGATCATTGTGTCCTCGGCGACTGTGTTTTATGTTCTAGACGGTAGTTACCGTGAGCCACAGTAGAAAAGGAATCACGGAGGTGACGAGGAATGTGGGTTTTGTCCCCACTTTATGTTACAAGTTATTGTCAAGCAGTGCTTCTGTATGGAGTTATGGGATGGGGTTTTTATGAACTGAGATTTTGGTGGAGTTCTATGGTAGTTTGTTGGTTGGAAAAGAGATTCATTGATTGTAGTAACGACTAGCTAAGCTATGATCCTCAACTTCTTTTGTATGGACGCCGGATTTGAATCTAATTTGTAACCTTTATGATTATTCCAATTTCACATCGCCTCTAATCATTAAATATGGGACATAATTAACATCATGTAACAGATCAAACAAGTACGTTTCGTAACCGTTTATAGTTTTTTATACATAAGTCAAATTCTATCAGACAAAACCATGACACAATTTAATCCATTTTATAATATCCAATGCCCATTCTACCGAAGTTTAGTAAGACTAAATCTTCTCCCAACAACTTATAAAAGTGTGGATAAAACTGTAGAGGACTTATCCTACTATCCTTGGCAGGAAGGGATAACATATATATGAAGGATAGATACCACGGTCCGGAGTCGTAAACATTTCTAGTGGATTTTCGTCCACTAGCTATAGTTACGAGAAATAGTTCCCTTGTTTAGTGCTTCTAACGTATTGGCCATTGTGCCGTGAGTGTTAAAACTAGTGCAGTTTATGGCAGAATAGGTTAAGAGTTTGCTCATTTTCGTTCGCTTTATTTTCTGTTTAGTAGATTTTTTGGTTGATTGCTCTATTTTTATTTGTTGTAAATTGTTTTTAGCCGAATATTATAACAAAATACGCTAGGCTGACATTTTTGATCATCAGTATGAGCCGCAAAAAAGGTGTGCTACAAAAATACTGCCACATTTAAACGAATTGTTTCATGTGTGCTTATAACCTTTTTGTCGCTCCACAGATGAGTACAATAAGGCCTTATTTTTATGTCTAAGTTTATCGATTTATCCGAAAAGCTTTACATTTTGTTGACAAACACTTCAAATTTTGTTCACAACCCATTCGATTACTATATCACTCATTTTCATCATAAACTCAAGCACTTACCTTCAAACACAGTCAGGGTAGCTACAGCAGTGACAGCATCACCGACGCCATTCTCCGCCACGCACTCGTAAGTAGCATCGTCACGTTGAGCTCGTACCGGTTCGATTCGGAGTACAGCTCCGTTAGCCGCCGGTCCTGCTGCAGCGTCCATCGGAGACACTTGGTAGCGGGACTGCATACCTGGTGGAAAGGTGGCAATTAGTCAAGGTTTAAAGATACTTAGGAACGTAGGAGAAAGATGAGATATATAGAGAAGTATTTTAAGTATTTTTAAGATGCACCAAAAATGTTGAATATCTATTTTTTCCTAAATAGCATAAGCATATTCTATCCACTGTAATTTTTAAACCACTTGAAGAAATCAATAAGCAAATTAGAGAACTGCAAAACAAAATGGGTGTAGCGACACAGGTCCAGGGGGGGGGGGTCATCCAATTTCTTATCCAATATTGTAGCATAGCATCAAAAGTTAAACGTTATTAATATAACTCTAGAACATTATTACTATTAATATCCATCAATTCTAGAACAATTATTTCGTAAAGGTCATTCAAAGTGTCCCGTGAAAGTCCCGGGGTCGTCCAACACTATACACAGACCAAATGAAATCAAATAAATGTCTTACACAAGAGACGTCTATTATTCCAAACTCGTATAACTATTGATACATTTATTTAGTGGGATTAGGCATTATTTAGGGATTTAGGTCTCTCTGATTAGCTTCAGATAGGAGCTAAATAAGAAAAGACCACAATAAACGGTCAATATATCCACAATGGATTTGTCAATTATTTTCGAAACACGTAATTGAGTTTGAATTAAGAAGATTCAGACCTTAAATAAAAAGCTTTAGAGATGAATTTAACAATTCTGTTATTCACTACAATCGTAAAAAGTACAATACCGTTTCAATTACAAATTGAATTTAAAAGCGGTGGAAAAATAAACTTTAATGACTGTTATTCAACAGCGCATTATAACAGCTTCGGACTTAAAAAATATTTACTTTGCCAAAGAAACGGTAAGTAAAAAACATTTACTTTCAATGAAAAACTTTAAAAACGTCTCGGATTAATGTCCTACTTCTTGCGTCTCCTTGCACTTTGCATTTCCAAGATTACGGTACCAACAACAGCTTACACACTTTGCAATCGTTGTGGATCGTAATCCTTAAGGAATAAAGTTTAAATTGCATTGCAGCAGATGTCGAGTGCTTGGCTAAAGTTTGCTGGACTAGGGATGTTCGTTATTGCGCGGACTGATTCGTTTAGGCGATTATTCGACTAATTTCAGACATTTGGTGGAAATTAGTTCCTGATATAGTGGACCGTGATTTCTGTGGAAATGGCTTTTCTGTGTTAATTTTGAGATTTTGATGATAGACGTAATTGCTAGTTTGTTAGCGGTTCATACACACGACACGTGTAAACTATTAATTATTGGACGTTTAACATTTATCAAGTGTGTTAATTAGTTGGATGGTAAGGAAAATACTACAATTTACTTTTTGTATTTTCCTGTAAGACAATTATGTTTTGATTGTGACATTATTAGTAATAGTTTCGAAACATGTGCTAGAGATGTAACAAGCGTTAGCAGCTCTGGTCCTGCGTACTAAAGAGGAACTAATGGTTATAAAAAAATATTGTAGGGAGACAGGTACAATGTACATAGGTAGCAGTTAGATATATTGCATCACACAGCTGAGTCTGTAAATACTACTCGACACATATTATATTTAGTCGTAAATAAATGATGGTCCCGTATGATTGTTGAATAAATACCCAAAGACGTTGAACTGGAGCACGAGCTAAATAGTGACAACACTTTTTTTATGGAACAAGCCCGCCTCAACCTCCCAAAACCGCTGGAACGCCTGTAAGCCAGGATCTACAGTAGATACAACCATGAAAACACCGGAACACTGAAGTCCGGCGCGTCCCAGGGACATGAGTAACTGCCTTGGTTCCCGCAACGAAGCGATTCAGAAGATATTAGTGACAATACTTAACCTAAGTAATAAACATCAACTCTTAACAATTTCTCAACACGAAAAAACACATAAAGTACAACCCTAGTCCACTATAGGGTGGCCCGGGGCGACAGAGCTAAATCGCCACAGTGGTAAGCGCCAAGAAAATGTATTTCACAACAAATGAGAATAATAGTTGTCTAGCGAACGTGTGATTTTTATCCCATTTTTTGTACGTCAGTTAGTGTTGCCTGAATAGTGTAAAGTTATGGGAATTTCTGTAGTAAACTCCGTGTTTAGTAAGTGATTAAGTCCCGGGGGAGTCGTATGAATGTCCGGGGTAAAAAGCTACGGGATTTAGAGTTTTAATACGGAAAAACTGAATTTTTCGTGTCACGGTTTTGTAATTATGCTAAAATGTAAAAGTTTATTTCATATACTGTGATTGTAAAATATTAGACATCCTAACTATAGCGAAACATGAGATGCCTGTCGATAGACACCTGACAGAAAAAACTATGACTTTAAAATAAATTCTCATATTCAGTATTTATTTTTATCAAAAATAAAAATATATCTCAAAATACGAAAGCTAGTACCCAGACAAACCGGAATAGAAAAATAATATATCAGAAAATGGTGCAAAATGGGACGCAAGCAAACAATCAAACTATTAAGCTGAGAGGATCCCGGGCCCGGGATTATTTATGACCACGGGAATAGCAGCTAAAGATATAGTCCGCGATAATTTATTATGGTCAGAAATATTCATGCCGCATAACTATTGCCCATAGTAATATTTGCGGTATCCCGGAAAGTCCGGGATTCCGATGGTGCAGCACTAATTTGTAAAAGCGTTGACATATTGTTAATAGTACGTTACATTTGGTGACTAGATGGATGATTTATTGTTCGTTCGCGAAATATTTATATGTAGCATACTTTTCAGAATCAAATCAGCATTTGAAATCATTTATGCAATATATTTTAATTTTACAATGCTTATGTAGGTCTAGTCGGGTATTTAACCCTTTAGTTCGCAAGGAAAGTTATGACTAAATTTGATAATTTTTTTTAGTTATTCTGTCTAATTATATTATTAGTTAACTAAAAAAAATAAAATAAAAAATCAGAATTTACAGATTTTTCAGAAACAGGACGTTAAAAATACGTAACATCGCGAAGAAAGCGATGATAAAGTGCCAAAAATGTATGTTACGTATTTTTAACATTGCGAAGTTTACGGAGAATAAAAAAACTGCTTACTAGTATTAAAAATTTATTTAAAAGCTAACAAAAATGAATTAAAAGTTAAAAAAGTAGTTGACAAATTAAGGAAACAGACTACATTGTTTGATGCAACTTTCAATGTTCGTGAAACAATTTAAAACAATTACGTTTCTTTACGAAACACAGTCGCAAATTGCACTTGGAACAAATGACGTTGGTCATGCCTTTTTTACAAAATTTGCATCTACCAGGCGCTGTTATAAAGTCAGGCATATGCCCCACGTTGTCACGACGAATAGCTTCGGTAGGTCTCGGCCCAGATGGCTTTTGAATTTTATCAATTTTTGTGTTGAGAATTTTTTCTTGAGATGTACTCGGGGCAGCATTGGGTCGTTGTTTTGAGAGCAGTTCGTAATATATCATAACACGAAATATTTTTAACGTGTTAGGCACTTTATTATAATGCATACAATCTTTTCTATACATAATCCATGCATTATTTACACAGATGTCTAATAGTTGTGAAAACAACACCATGTACCATCTCTTAGTCTTATAATTAGTGCGATACAGTGATACTAACATATCGCACAAATCAACGCCCCCCATATGTGCATTATAATGTTTAACTATTTGGGGGCAAGTTACATTTACCTTAGCTTTTGCTTCTTTCGCGAACCGCTTTATGGTTTCCATAGGGTACGAATCCACATACGAACTTGCTAACAAAACGGACTTGTTGTCATGCCATTTCACGAGACTTAGTTTATTTTCATTGCAAACTACTTGTTTGCTGGAACCTCGGCCTGTTTTTAACATTTCTTTATCACTAGGCAGTTTTTCTTGGCATCCTCTTAAACGGTTAGCTCTGATAGTGCCCAAAGAAAAAATCCCATATTCATGGCGCAACAAATGAATCAACTCGAGCGATGTAAAGAAGTTATCAAAGAATACGACCGCTGGTTTATGTCGAATAGTTTGACAAAGGGCTATTACGACTTTGGCGCCAACTCCTAATGAATTCTCATATTCAGTGAAGGAATGGAATCTAAATGTATCTTCACCGCCGTAGGGCATGAAATCGTAAACGCAGCCCGATACTCCAGCCCTGACGAAAATCTTAAAACCCCACTTCTTAGGTTTATTTGCCACATATTGGCGCCTGTTGCCAGCTCTTGTGCCCTTATACGGCACCATCATTTCGTCGATACTATAGCGATGTTCCTCTTCTATTTTGAGACAATTTCGACGTACACCTTCTAAAATAGGTCGAATTTTGAAATAACGATCTTCATTTTGCTGAGAGTTGTCGACAAAATGTAAAAATTGACGAATTTGTTCGTACCGCTTCAAACTCATAACATCAGCAACCAGGCTGTAACGTAGATCCTTCTTCCAGTAGTCTCGATAAGCGGGCATCTTAACAACACCCATTAAAAGATTTATTGCTATAAAATCCAACAATTCTTCGCGAGTGATATTCACCGATTTCAGATTCCGCTGTACTGCGTATAAATTCGTATTTTGAATAATTGTATCTACGATATCTGCACTAAAAAAATCAAAGAAGTAATCTAATGGTGACTTTGATTCGGAACCGAATTGTGTGAAGGTGATTTCATCCAGTATTGCACTGTGTTTAAATTTACCTCTTTCCCATTTGAAATGCAACGATTTTCTGACAAATGGTTTCTTTTTCTTTGTCACTAATTTCGGTAAAGTAGTTAACCTTTTTTTCGAACGGGTTATCTTGGGAACGGCAGAAGCTATTGGGCTCGGTGACAAGGATATAATAGATGATATTGATTGAAGTGCAGGTAAATGTTGTGGTGGGTTGTGTGTTGCAAGTACTTCAGATATAACTGGGGTAGGTGGAATCACATCTTCGGGTAAAATATCCTCAAATGAATTATCTAAAATATTCATGCGCTCAAATGAAGAATCTAGGGACCGGGGATCAGAGCTGTATTCTGTGTCA